CCGGGGCTGCTCGAGGCTTGTGGCGCCCACTGTCGGGCGGGCCCACAGAGAAGCGGGGCGGGACTGGGGAAGGGGGCGCGGGGGCCGGCTCATCCCGGCCACCGCCTGCTCCTGGGGCCTGGCAAACCCACATGAGCCATGGGGCCCCGTGACGGCGAAGGGGAGTTCCGCGGGCCGGGGCAAGGTGGATTCTCTATGGCTCACCACGCTGAAGTTGGTTCCTTGTTTCCGGTTTTGGTTCGTTTTGCAAAGTTAAATCCTTACACAATGAAAGGTTGTTAGTAATTAATTGCACCTGCTACAGTTAGGATTTCATCAAAAATGTGTATTTACTAATAACTTTTTACAATTGTAGCTCAGGCTGTACTCCATAAGGTACCCCTCTCCAATTGAAAGGATCAAAGCAGGTGCACAAGCGCTGTGGGAGGTGTAGGGACTCTCCTTCCCCTATAGAGCAGAGCTAGACCACCACTGGGGACTTAACTATATACCTTTTAATGAGGGAACAATACTGGGAACATAACAGGCATAATCAGGGGGTGGAGTGGACACTACAGTGCCCCAAGGGGGCAGGATTCAACAAAGGTTAGACACTTACAATCATTGACAAAAGACAGGGTTAACAAAATATAAAACAAACAGAGCAAACAATGCTGGTTGGGGAAATATAAAAAGGCACAAAATACAAAATGTCAAAGGACCAAGAAATATAGGGCCTAGGTACCTGGAAGGGGAAAAAACGGAAAACACAATGGCCCCTTTCCACTGCAAGAGGAATTTTTCCTTGTTAGGTCACTCACCCCAAGTCACCAAAACTGAGACTTGAACTTGGGTCTCCCATGTGGTAGGCAGAAACACTTGCCACACAGCCACCAGTGCTGGGATTGCTTCAAACTTCTAGGGGCCTTGACCTTCCTGGAGCCCTGGCCTCACATTGAGCTGCCTAGTCTCTGATTGGAGGAGCTGGAAGCCGAGCTGAGAACCCCTCAGGTCACTGCTCAGATTCTTGCTGACGCAGGAAGCCTTTCCTGCCAGCCACAGCCTCTCGTAGGGGATCCTGGAGCCCAACGGGAAGCCTGTCCTGCCAGCCACACGCCATGCTGCTAAAGGTCCAACTGCTGCCTGCAGGTCCTGCTCCTTCAGGCTCTTCTGGGGCAACTGCTTCTGCCCCTCTGGCTCAGCTCTTTGAAGCTCCTTCCTCATGGTCCCTCACTGGTCTCTTCCCTGAGTCAGCCGTGCTGCCCCTTTTATCCCCCTCCAGGTGACCCAAGGGGCCAATCAGGGGACATGAGGGGTGAGTCTCTGGGGCCTGATTGGTGAGGAAAGGGAATCCCAAATCCTCCAATCATCTTTTGCCTTTTCAAAACCCCTGGGTTAGGTCACTGCCAGCCAGCCCATCACACAATAATATGTTTCAAATCCATAGCCCTGGAAAAAAAACCTGGGATTAGGCTGGGATTATGAGGCAAAATCCTTTTCAATTCACCCCAAACCACACACCTCTGCAATCGGGGGCTCTCCTAAAGGAGCCTGGGCCCCGTCCTGCCCAACCCAAAGCTTGGTTTCTGTGTGGCAGGCTGGCAACTCACATAGATTCATAGACATTAGTGCTGGAAGGGACCTCGCAAGATCATCAGGTCCAGCCCCCTGCCCAAGGGCCAGAAAGTCAGCTGGGGTCAAAGGATCCCAGCAAAATAGACATCCAAGTGCTTCTTGAAAGTGTCCGGAGTAGGTGCTTGCACCACCTCTGGGGGGAGTCTGTTCCAGGCCCAGGGGGCTTGGACAGTAAACAAGTTTTCCTTATGTCCAGTCTAAAACGGTCTTCAAGCAGTTTGTGACCATTAGACCTTGTCTTCCCGTGAGGTGCCCTGGTGAACAGACGTTCTCCCAGTTCCTGATGCACACCCCTTATATACTTATAGGCTGTCACCAAGTCATCCCTGAGCCTGCGCTTCTTCAGGCAGAAAAGTCCCACGTCCCTCAGGCTCTCCTCATAAGGCTTGCTCTCTTGTCCTCTAACCATGTGTGTGGCTCTCCTCTGGACCCTTTTCAAGCTTCTCATGGCCTCTCAGGCCTGAATTAAGAGCTGGGTTTGGGTTGGGAATACCAGTGGAAATACTTTTCCAGTCACCCCAGGTGACATGTATCTGCCATCCCCACTGGCTGTGCTCCTTCCCTCACTGCCGTTGGTGGGGGGGCAGATCGAGGCCACAGAAGTGAGGGAGGGAGTTGGGGCTAGGGCTAGACCCTCAATCTGCCCCGCCTCACCCCCCACACCTTTCCCCTCCTCCACAGACTTACCTGCTGGGGGGGGATAGATCTTGAGTTCCTTTTAAATTCCAAAATTGATCTCTGCACTAGATGCCAGTAAGAATGGCTGTGTGCAAATATACCCCAACTTGTCAAATTTACCTTGAGCTCCCATCCAGCAACTTAGTAAAGTAAATTTGAACTTGGGTATTCTAATGTGAACAAACCTGTCCACTCATAAGCAAGTGCTAAATTAAAACAGGTTTATTACAAGGGAAAAGTGGAGGGCTGACCCAAAAAGGATTTTCACCTGTAATCCCAGCCCAAACCCAGCTCTTTATTTGGGCCTCAAGGTCTGTGAATTGGCAGCCTGGCACACAAAAGCTGAGCTTTGGGTCCGGCAGGGCTATGTACTTGATACGTTATATTGTTTTACTTTTTTATTAGTAAATATACATTTTGATGAGATCCAAACTGTTTAGCTTGTATAATTCATTACTAACAACCTTTATGTAAAGATTAGCTTTGAAAATAGAAACCAGGAACCGAGAACAAGGAATCAGGAATAAGAAACCAGGAACTGGGAATAAGGAACTGGGAATAAGAAACCAATTTCAGACTCATTCATTGCTTGGAGTCTTCATGCCAGCACTGGAACATCTCGAAAACATCAGCTGCAGCTCATCCCCAGGTTACGGGAGAGATCCCCCCTGGCCTGCACTGTGCTATGGACAATAACGGTTATTCAGTTCACCCTGCAGACACCACATCCAGTGGAAAGGAGTTCAGGGTTACGTCATCTTATGCTTCCCCAAAAGCTGTCTACACATTACCAGATCGGTGTCCTGTGGACCAGAGGTGCCAACTGTTAAGCCTACCTGGAGCCATAGTTGAAAACACAGTTCCAAAGCCTGGAGGCCTTCCAACTAGGGGTGGGAAACTTGTTCAACAACTGGGTGAATAAAAGACAATGCTGTAAATGTAGCATCTGCAGTGGGACTGAATCTGTCCCGTTAACACTTGGGTCACCGAGGCCTCACGCATAGAGGGAGAAGGCTGATAAGGTCAAGACCCCCTACAGAGTGCATAATGGTTCAGCAACACCCGCAAGGCTTGGGGTGTGGTGTAAGGGAGGAATAGAGCCATGCAATCTCCACTTAAGGCTAGAGGTGCCCTGCAGAGGCATAGGTGAGCTGAGAAGGGCCTATTAGTTTGAGGGCTGAGCTAAGGCAAAGGGGGTCCAGGAGGGACCTGGTAATGATTTGCAGGGGCTCAGGCTCTTTCATAACAGCCCATGGCCAACCTCCCTTACACTGTCTCTAATATGAACAAGGCATGGCAGGAAAGTAAAGAAGGGAGGGCTACATCAGAACCTGAGCCAGACAGGGAACACATGGCCACCAAGGGACATCATGGCTGCCCCACTGGCCAAGAACCTACTACAGTTACGTATAAGGAAGGGAACAGCAAACAAAAGGGAATCTGTAGCTGTGCCCTACCTTTGTAGCTTCTCAAGGCAAAACGGGTAGCAGGAGGCTTTCTTCAGAAGGTTGAGTAGTGTCAACTGAGAGGTTTTTGTTTAATTTTACTTTGGGGTTTGACGTTCCAGTTTCAACTTAAAAGGCCAGTAGAGAATGGTGGGAAAGGGATATTCTAACAAGTCAAAATACAGATGGGTTGAAACAGGCTGAGCTCTGATTTTTTCAAACCTAAATTGAGGGGAGGGGACATGTTAGTCTAGAGTCTGCTCTCAGTCACATCAGAATAAATACACAGTAACTTCACAGAAGGCAATCAAGTTATCCCAAGTTTACACACACACGTGTGAGAGTAGCATCTGGCCCCTTGATTCTTCTTTAATCATTAGTCTTTATTTATAGGTTTTGTAGCAATGTCCAGGATCCCATTGTGTCGAGTGCTGCACACAGATAGAAAATAAGTTTAATACACACTTCTGACAAAAAATAACTCCTCATGAAAGAGCCAACAGTTTTCATCCTCCTCAAGGGAGGTCTGAGAAAGCTGCATATCTGGCCTCAACCTACTTATAAAGGTGCTTTCTTGTTCTGTTTCTTTTGTGAAGGTACCTGGCAAATAGGGATCCTTGGTAGTAGATGTAGGTTCAGATGTAGCGTCAGTCAAATGTAGACTTTTGGACAGCCACAGGTGGGCAGGAGTGGGACATTGGACATTAAGGGCATTTTTACATGTGGTTTGGGACACAGCCCCTGATGCTTTAATTAGCAAGCTGCTCTAATTAAAAGCACCTGCACATCATCGGTCAGCATCCCCATGCTGAAGAAGTGGTGGTGGGGCACTTGGAACTAAAGC